TGTCAATATTTTTTTGTGGTTTATGACGCGACATCCCACTCGGGTCTAAAACAACCCTCCCCAACTTTTTTTTTCTTTTCTCTCGACCCCTTGTTTTCGGGGTGCGCCGCACCCCGTGCTCGCGCGTCGTGCGCTGTGCGCAGTGCGGCGCGTGTGGACGGTGCAGCGCACGTCGCCGCAAGTATGCCGCTAATTCAGGGCTTTGGCTCGGCAGTTATGGGTCACCAATTCAGCTAGACTCATTTCGTGTCTCCACGTGATTCTCAGGGCCTCCCTCAACCACTCACCAAATGTATATAACGGTAGTAGAATGAATCTTCTGCTAAAATATGGAACCATACACCGCCNTAACGGTAGTAGAATGAATCTTCTGCTAAAATATGGAACCATACACCGCCATATGCTATGTCTTTTGTGCATGTGGTGAGTAGTGGAGCAGGCCCCGCTGTATGTATTCATAAGAAAACAAAAACGAGAAAGCTTCATCCTAAGTTCCTAACCCATAACTGTCGACATGCAGACCTGAATGCCAATCTTCAGCATATATTGGTGGTTGGCTGGCCGTGAAAAACACATCTAATGACTTCTGTGAAACATTGCAGGGAAGGTCGCTATTGGGCAACTACCCCCTTCTTGCGAATTTTTACCACCACTGTGTGGGATTTGCAGAAGGGAGGGGGAAGGCCAGTTTCCACACCCCGCCTAAAAAAAAAGTTGGAATCAGCCCTATTTTCATGATTCGCCATTTTGAAACTTTTGGGGGAAGGGCCTGCGGAAATTGAATTTGGCAGCCCTTGCCCAAAAAAACATTTCGGGGCGGGGGCGCGGCCGGTTTCTGAATTTGCGCGGTGAGTTTAACATTTTGCTGAGGTCGGGGCCCTAAGAAATTACAAAACTCCGTACTTTTTTTTTTTGGGGGGGGGACCTAATTTTTCTTGTGCGGTGCGCTTCAGTGTGCTGTGCAGTGCGGTGCGCAATGCGTGTGCAAATCCGCGCACCGAGGTGCGCCGCAACTATGGTACAGAGCATATCTTTTTACAATGCCTGCGGGTGATTCTTACCTAGCGCTGGCGGGATAGGATTTGGGGGCTGCTGGGCACCGAGTCGTCGTGGCCATGGGACTGTAGAGTACTTCTGTGTGAAATGTGGCTCTCCCCACGAAGAGCACTTTCGAAGAGAACATGTTTAAGGTAGGGAGAAGAGCTGTCATCTGGGCCCTCTGGAGGAAGAGGTGTTGTGACGCCCAACCTCACGCCCAACGCGACTTCCTGTTATCAGAGTGAGAGGGGGCCCGGAAGTGCGTAGTAGGGGTGTGCCAAGGATTTTAGGAAAATGGGGTGGAGTCCCAAGTCAGAACTGAGATCTCTGGTGTCAAGTCTCAAGGATGGAAATGCAAGTGGTTCTATGTAGGGCCAGGTCTTGGGTTTTGCCTTTCTTAGGATTGAGCGGCTAATTTCGCCGGCCCCATCGCCTAGGGCGGGATTGCACTTGGTGCATTGATGGAACACAGTGGGTGTCTCTTTGTTCAAACACTTGTCGACGGTGGGTTTCACTGATCTTGGAGTTTGATGAGGGCGGCCTCAGCCGGAGACTGTGTTCTCGGTGCTCAGCTTCGGAGCAGGTCCGTCCCTCGAATCCCGCAGCTCAGTAAGTGTTGTGCTGCTGGCACTCAGAACACGACCTCCTGGGCCAGTAGTGCGCGATCGACTCCCAGGGGACAATCGTCAGACTGTGGTAGGGAAGGAGGAGGTGGAATGGAGGAAAGTGGGTTTCGATGGCGACGAATCCAGGCGAGGTGTAGTATTGGCGACTGCGGGTGTCAAGGTACTCCGGGATTCGGGAATTCCGTCCGATGGCCTGGTGAAAGTCCCAAGCACACAACCGATTGTCCTCAGTCTGGCAGGGGTAGGCCGTGGGCCTCGAGGGCGATCGGTGGGAGAGTTGTTCATTCTCCCGGTATTCCCGGTACTCGGGGTTCCTTAAACTGGCACGGTCAGTGATCCAGAATGGAATGTCGATATCCATATTTTTGCAAGAGAGACCTAACTCATGCATTTGGTTGTGCAAGGGGAGATGGTGTCAGGAACGGGTCATGCAGACACGCGTATACGTGGTGACTGTCGTCTAGTGATCATTCGTATACGTGTGTGCACATGATCTGTTCCCACCGAATCCGAATCAACTTATATAAATCAGACGGCTGTTCGTCGGGCTGAAGGAAAGGAGTGAATAACATTCCCTCGCATTAGATGTCAATCGCGCATAGATCATGCATGAGGAAGATCCAAGCCAAACCCAGGCATATACGTAGGCTGTAATCTGCCTGTTGTGCATGCATCTATCCCGACCCGGGTTTATTCGGGGGGGGGGCAGCTTCTACAGGCTTGACGCAAAATTACACAGTCGGTCACTTATTGCATACACGGGAACATGGGCGTACAAAAAAGGGGCGGGATTACATACATCTCTTCATACATCAGCAGGGTGTCCATCCTATGCTCCTCATAATCCCTCGTCTCTACAATCGACAACCCTTCATGCAAGTCGTTCGAGTGATCAATCAATTTTGGAATGGTCATACATTCTGCACTGGAAAGGAAGAGATGGGGGAGAGGAAGATAATTCATACATCAACCAAGGAAAAGAAAATCTGAGAGTGACGCAATCAAGGATGGTGGAAAACCAGAAATCAAAGTAAAGCCAGAAGAATCAAAATTATACAGAAGATGCGAAGAGATAAACCCCACTTTAGCATCTCTCTCTCTCTCTCTCTCTCTCTCTCTCTCTCTCTCTCTCTCTCTCTCTCTCTCTCAGTTCCCACAATGCGGGCAGTCCATCGCCTCACACCTACCAACAACCCGAAGCTGTGATCCCGCTTAGTCCGAGTATGCAAGCCAGGTTCGCCCATGTGCCACAGTCATTCGCGGCCACACGTCAACCCCGCCTACCCAGCACCAGCTCGTCGGATCGCCCAACTCCCTACTCACCTTTCTGTCTCTGCTTGTTAGCCAATTCTCTCGACTGCGCTAACTCCCAAGTTTAGATTAGAGAGAGAATTAGTCACACTTGCCAGCTTTATAGCATTCCGTAGTTGCGCGACATAATTCCGGATTATGCTGAAGCAAGAGGAAAGGGAGGTGGAGGGAGTGCCTACAGGTGCATGGCAGGCCCGCGGCGTGGGGGATGTAGCCGCTCTCCACGCATCGATCCAGTCATGCATCTGTAGGCCAATGAGGTAGCTGGGAAAGAGACGCTGAGCTTCGCGTGGAAAAAGAAAAGATCAAGAAGGGAGAGGATTGCAGTTACACCTGCGCTTGCCAAGAGGGAGCAAGAAGAGATCAAAGTTGCAATTAGAATTTAGGCGTGGTGGGGGTAGAACAGGACGCAGCAATGTGCATGCAAGTAGGGAGCCTCGTGTAGTTGCAGCCAAAAATTACGGCGCTCCCAAATTCCTAGTCTAATTAAAATCCTAATTGCAAAAAGAAATTCCGAGAATCTATGTGGGTTCAAAATTCAAACAGGAAATTCAAAAAGATTCCCCGTGATCGTGCCAAAAACTCCCCTCCCCACAACAGAACAAGAAAGAAGCTATGGCAACAGTTATTTCCGTGCTCGCTAAGGCGCGATCAATTACCAACCGTCGTGGAACGAACCTCTTTCCAAAAGACGGGGCCATCCATGCAATTGGGTGGAGTCGGCGGACCCCTCCTGATTAACCCCCGAAATACAGCCGCGCAGAAAGTCGCGCGACTACGGAAAGTAGTTTGTCACAGTGTATACTAACCATTGAAAGAGTAAGACTGGAGGGTGAGGAAATGTCTGATCTAATCAAACAATACATCCAGGAAGAACTCACCATACAATGGCAGACAATGAGATCTAAATTGGACTTAATCCACACTCAAAAGGATATATCATTGGCCATCAAGCAATTCTCTAGGGATTGGTTGGGGAATGAGCAGGGGGGTTGGATGGCTTACGTTCGCTGGGAAGGAGGCAACCACCCGGAATGGGGAGAGGAGAACCTGAGACACGACTAAACCATCTGCTTTAGGGACTGGACCAAGGTGGATGCAGCGATGCCATTACGCCCCCCCTCAGAGTTCCCGGACTTCTTTCCTCCTCACGGTCTTTCAATGGTAGATCTTCAGTGGTATGGGGTAGAGTGAGTGCGAAGGCTGCATTCAAAAGGAAGGACAGGGGCCAGATGGTCACATAGAGCAGGCGCCCAGCAGCAGGGCTGAAGAGGCCCCTCTTTCCTCTCATCTACCTGTGCAGTCAATCCCGTGTGTTCAGGGCAATCAATGCTGGCAGGCACTCGCTGGAATGGCAGTTGTTTTCCAGCAGGTGTTGCTCCGCACCAATAGATGGAGCCTCCCCAGGGGAGATAGAGGCGTCTGCTTATACCAGCGCCCCTAGCTCCCACACAGGCAGGTTTCAAAAAGGAAAAAAAAGAAAACAAAATCAGCAGCAACCGGTTGCAGTCGGCTTTGGCAACCCAGTGTGTGAATAAAAAGGCTTTGGGTATCCAACCTCGACCATGTCAATTGTGTGCATGCGTCTTATTCTGCATACTGTGACTTGCCGGTGGGAAAGGCACCAGACTCATGTACCCTAGGATAGAATGTAGCAAACCTTGAATATTCCTCTGTTTTGTTTTGTTTTTTTTGTGAGAAAAAGTTGGCTCTACCTGATCTCTGTTTACTGATTGCAAGCCTTGTGATGCGTACATGCATTATCACTCTCAGATGGAGGAGATGGAAATGGGTGAATGCACATTCAAGCCACAGATAAATCCTCGCACTCGCGTACTCGTTCAGGAACGTCTTGAGGCCCTGAAACAGCACAATATTAAATACCATGATCAGTTATTCAAAGATGCTGAGCGACGGCGACAGCGACAGGCAGAATACTCTCATTGGTATCCAGAAGAGTAAGCTCTCTCTCTCTCTCTCTCTCTCTCTCTCTCTCTCTCTCTCTCTCTCTCTCTCTCTCTCTCTCTCTCTCTCTCTCTCTCTCTCTNCTCTCTCTCTCTCTCTCTCTCTCTCTCTCTCTCTCTCTCTCTCTCTCTCTCTCTCTCTCTCTCTCTCTCTCTCTCTCTCTTGCTCGCTCGCTCTCTCTCGCTCTTCCTCCCCCCCCCAATGCACACACATACTTTTCTCAGAGTTATTGCAAACGCTGGGTGATGTGGCGATCATTATCTATCAGTCATCCTGGGCAGGCTGTCAGTGTTCAACCTCCTGATGAATCGGTGAAAGTCCATTGAAACAGTCTGGCACAGTCATGCTTCTTTTGTGGAGTTGTAAATAGCAAACAAAACAATACACATGCACTCAAGTGCACATGTATGTGCACACGCCCATCACCCATGTGCCCACCCACCCAACCAAAGTTAGGATCCAGTGATTTGCAGACATTCTCTGCACATACACTCACATGCGCATGTGCACATGCCCATCACCTATGTGCCCACCCACCCAACCAAGCAGCATCCAGTGGAGGATGTGCAGGCATTCTCGGCTCAAGCACACAGATATGGGAGACCTTAGACTTCATGGGGTTCTATGTTTGGTTATTGCATTGAGATCTGTTTGGGATGAAAAATAGAGGTTGTTGGTGCATGATCCTTGTGCAAGGAAATAAGAAATGCGAACAGCAATAAGCCAGACTGCAACATCGCACAGACGACCAGACATCATTGAGCTGAAATTGAAAGCAGAAATGAATGCTAAATGCACACCACATATGAACGAACAAAACACCGAAGTCTCTTGATAAGGAAAGCCCTTCCAACGCCCCCAATCATTACTGCAACAACAATGTAGCTCTCCTATAGGCGCCTGGACGCCGACTCTACTTCCTATCACTCTTATCAGTGTATCCTATCTACGCCAGCAACCGTTCCAAGTGTCACCAACCCAGTGCCACTTGAAGACTCTGATCGAACAGCCTGCCTTCGTCAACACCAGGTACGTCCCTCATTCACATCATCTCTCTCCCTTGTCCTCCACCCCTTGTTCCACCAAGGACCTCCTGCAGTTCCACCACCCTGGCTATGGAGCACTCAGCCTGGCTATGGCTGGCGCTCTCCCTTCTTCTTGCTCGCTGCCACTGCGGCAGATTCCCACGGGCACAGCGCTCACCCAGCACTGCCTCATTGGCACAATGCCCAAATGTGTCAGTGTGTTTTGTGCTGGATGAAGAGGCTGAGGAGGCCGCGCCCAGTCTGTGCCCTGTCCCAGTTGCCCTGCGCCCAGGCCCTTCCAGAATGTGCACACAGGCCCAGCTGGGCCCACTGGTTAGTTGAAGATGCGTGCTGCAACTACCCGGGGCCCCTTTCTGCTAACATTGGCCTTTTGTCAGGCCCAGCTGCATTTTGGCAAGCTCGCCTCCACTGAGGGCGGGCAGGGCCTCTTGGCTTACCCGACGTCCTGTTTCCTTGCACTTGTAAATACGGCCACTGAAACCATGCACCCACCACAGGACCCATGCACAGCATACTGACCACTCGTGCAACTTAGCAGTTTGCTACAAATTCTGGGATAGATAGCTCAAGATCAGAGAAAAAGTGGTCAAACGGGAAAAGATGGAACAATGTTAGAATGGGCTAAATGGAGAATGCCCATTCATATGAATGGGAGTTGCCTTCCCATGGCCCAACTGTTGGGTTGTTGTTTTGACATTCAGTCTTATAGACCTCTCTAAAGGAGACTCCCTTCTGACCCCTTAATGCTCCATATGACATCAAATTCCCACCGCAACTTCCCACAATGTACACGATTCAGTGTCCGAACAGCAGTGAAAGATGGTAAGCTCAAAACGAGTCAAAAGGAAATTCCCACATGTGATGGCACACCCCATTTCAATCAGACAGGAGGGCACCTTGGGGTGGCCTGGTGCACCAAGGAGTCACGTGGACTTCGACTCTGCTCGAGAATGATGCGCGCATCACCTGACAGTGCAGGGCTTCAGACAGCTGTTATAGTTGGGAACTGAGAACTGGTCGGTTGATTGAGGGTTTTGCGTTCCTGGCCACAACATGAGGAAGCATGGGCATGTTGCCGTACCTGTTTTACACAGCATTTACATGTGTGTGATCTGTTCATGGTCTTATGTTTTCAGGATAACCTTCCAGCCAAAGCTGTACAAAAGGGCCAGGCTGAACAATGAGGACGAGGAGAGGGAACAAGAGCCAGTGTTTGAGAGGATGTATAAGCTTGCACCAAAACTGATGGAGAAGAAGAGGGCTATGCGGGATGCTATATTGAATGGAGTAGATCCAGAAACTGGCCAACCTTTCTTCAAGCCTGTAACTGGTCGTGCACCCACGTTTCAGGTGCGACGCCTTCCAGCCACACTCACACAAAAAAACACAGCGTCTGTTTTGATCCTCTGATTTCCATGATGCAAGCTCCAGATCATGCATCACAAATAAATGTTGCACCACAGAATGAAGTTTGAGAGTGATAGTGGAGAAAAGGTGGGAGAAATAAATAAACTCCCCTCATATCTCACCACCTCTCCTACTCCTCATCATTGTTATCGAATGTGGATAACAAAGAACAGTCAGAGAACAATGAACGAATAGTGACAGAATCACAGTGCTAGATGAAAAGCCTTACAAATACTGATAAAAATTCAGAAAATCCCTTTTTGAGTCTCTCCCATGGCTACGATCCGGACGTCCGGACCGCAGTCCAGACGGTCTGGATTCAGTCCGGACTCCAGACGTCCGGTCTGGAAGGTCCGGATCTGCCAAAATTCGAGAAAAAAAAAAAAGGGTCCAGGACCCTTCCCCATTGAGGAGCCAAGCCCCCAAAATTGTTTTGGGGGTTTTTCAGGCCCGTTTATGCTTTTTTGGGGGGTCCGGACATGCTCTCTCTCTATAGACAACCCCAATTTTTTAATTATTAATCATTCATTACCGTTTATTAGTTCTTAAAGCCTTTTTTTAAGCTTTTTTTATAGTTTTTGACTTGTAACTCAAGTTTGTTAGGAATTCTGACATGACTCTGAGGCAAAAGTGGTTTGCATTGTTATTCTGCATAGCATACTTTTTTTTCAGATTTTTTTATTTTTATTGTTTTTAATGATCCGGACATTTCCGGACCTGTCCACACATCCGGACCGTCCGATCCCCCCATGTCCGGAGGTCCGGAAATGTCCGGAATTCCGGACGTCCGGAAACTACCGGACACGGGTCCGGTTCCATGTCCGGAAATGTCCGGGTCCGGGTCCGGGTCCGGCGTAGCCATGGTCTCTCCTGATATGGTGTTTTTTTTTTTTTTTTTTTTTTTTTTTTAACAACAAAATGTAATGAACCCAGTCTGATAGATACTACTAAGTCGTCAATCCACTGTAGTTTCAATATCTGCATGAAAGTCTCCAGATCGTGAAGTGATATCTCAAACAGAAACTCATTATCAAAAAGAGCAGAGAGTGGAGGGAGAATAGACAAAGGAGAGGAAGAGAGATCACACAGTAATAACCCTTCAGATCCCTCTTCTTCTCCGGGCTTCTTTCCACACTACATCATCAATGATAATAAGTATATTCCTGACCACACACAATAGTGCCACGTGGCACTTTATCTCATGAAGACTCCGAAGACACAGCAGATTTCCAGTGACGACGTCAACCTCAGGTGAGTACCCGATTCCCTACATCCACACATCCCCGATCTTCCTCCTCCTAGCAACCAGTCACCTCATGTAGACAGCGTGGACAATGCCACATCAGCAATCGAAACAGGTGGCATTCACCACATCATCAATGTAGACCAGTAGCAGCACCACGTAAACCAGAGGCAGCGCCACATCAGCACGCCAGGTAGACCAGAGACAACGCCACATTTACCAGTGGCAGCGCCACGTCAGCATGCCACGTAGACCAGAGGCAGCGCCACATAGACCAGAGGTAGCACCATGTCAGCATGCCACGTAGACCAGAGGCAGTGCCACATATACCAGAGGCAGTGCCACGTCAGCATGCCATGTAGACCAGAGGCAGCGCCACATATACCAGAGGCAGCGCCACATCAGCATGCCACAACAACATAGCCTGGCCCACTAAGAAAGCCCCAGCATGCTGCCTCCACCTCGTGCTGTCGCCCGCAGCGCCTGTGCACAGCCGGCATGTAGCCAGCGTCTAGCCAAAGTCGAGCCAGCGCCAAAGCAGCATAGCAAGACTAAATGTCTTGACTTCCTCGAGGCCAGCCTTAAGTAGCAGTCAGCGAGGCAGTCTGGCCTCAGTGCATTTCCCCTCAGTCGTCCAGATTGACTCACAGTTGAAGGCCCGGATTGTACAATTGCAGACTTCTCCCTTGGACTTGATGCTGTCTGGGTACCTGCGTACAAACAAGTGTGTGTGTTTGACCTGCGGCCTGGGCTAGGTACCTTTGGACTTTGACTGTTGGGTGCCCAGGCCCTGAATTCGTGAAGGGCCTTTTTTTCCCTGGTTCGGCCTCGGTTGAGGGCAGCCAAGTAGGCCTTTTGATGACCCTCAGTTCCACGAGGCATATGGCATGGGTTATTGCATTCCTGCCGTCCCAATTTTCGAGTTCCATCTCAGAAATTACATCAATTCCGAGTTACACGTTCATATGCAACAACAATATCAGGAGCAGTGGGTAGAAGTTTTCTCCTACAAAACCATCTAGCTTCAGATGGGGGTTGGGACTTGAACGTTACCTTGTACTGCTTTTGAGGTCGTCCTCTGCCACCTGTAGAGAAATAGCCATGCTCCAATATTTTCTCAACTTCATAGTCTCCATTCATAGAGGGTGGAATCATAGATGGCCTATTTGGAAAATTATCACTTTCTACATAAGGTACCTGTTTAGACGCATGGAAGACAGGGTATGTCCTGAGATGTGGAGGTATATCGATACGATAGGAAGGTCCATCTTCACCTCCAATTACTTTGAGAACTTCCCAGGGCCCATAGTAGATAGGTAGCAGTTTCTGAGACATGTTTTCTCCCAAGGAAAACTCTTTAGACTTAACCGACAAAGTCCCCTTCCTGAAATTGTGAAGGACGACGATGTTTATTAGCTTGTTCAATCATTTGCATCTGGGCTTTCTGTATGTTTTCCTTCGCGTTCTTAATGTCTTCTTCATACAGAACTGCAAATTCACGCGTGCCTAGGGGTAGCCTCTGAATCTGATCCCTTGTTAAAGCATCAATGAGACGTTTAGGCTTCCAACCTTTATGCAATGCGTTAGGCGTCCTACCTGTGATAGTATGTATACTATTGTTATATGCACTAGCAATTTTAGGCAAGTTCTCATCCCAATCAATCTGGTCAGGACGAACGTACATTCGCAAAAGTTGTTGACAAAGACGATTCATTTGCTCAGTTTGGCCATTTGTTTCAGGATGCCTACCTGATGACATGGTCAACCTGGTTCCATAGACTTCTATAAACTTTTGCCATTGGAGACTGGTGAACCGAACATCTCTATCTGATACGAGGGTTTTGGGAAATCCATACTCAAAGACCCATCACATTTGAAACCTTTGTATGACTAGTTCGGTTCTAGCTTCAACGGGCAAAGGAATGAACATAGCATACTTATAGAATCTATCGGTGATTACCATTACCTGACTATTGTCGTTTCGACTCTTAGTGAGGCTCATAAAGTCAATTGAGATAGGTTCACCTGGCTCACTTGGAATAGGCAGTGGTCATAATAGTCTCATCGGATTCTCATGTGAGGGTTTGTTCCTCTGACAGACAAGACAAGTCCGCACATACGTTAGTACATCTTCCTTCATTCCATTCCACTCAAAATGTTCTCGCACATCGGCATACGTCTTCTTAAAACCAAAGTGACCTTCCGCATCATGACATTCCTCAATGATTAAGCTCTTGATTGGTTCTAGGTGAGGAACGCACAATGATTCTTCCGTGTTATCCGTAAGAAGAGTAAGCCATCAGTCATTCGATATTCTGGAAACAACTAAGGGTTCTTTCGTAGAGTTCCAATGATAGGATTCCAAATAGGATCACTCCCATAACCCTGGCGGATCTGTTCTTTCAAGTCATTTCTAATATCGAGATAAGAGACAATAGTTCCAAAGAAATCTGCACGGCTGGACAAATCATCCGCAACTACATTAGACTTACCTTTGATGGTTTTCACCTCAAAGTCAAATGTGTCAAGAAATGCGGACCACCTTACCAATTTGTCGGAGAGCTTGGGCTGAGTCTTGATCCCCTTCAATGTAGAGTGATCAGAGTAGACAGTGAAACGCCTCCCTAACAAGTAGTGCTTCCAGGTATCTAGTGAAGTTAATAAGGCATACAGTTCCCTTTCATATATAGAGTTGGCTACTTTTTCTGACGGAAGTCTTATCGACATAAACTCAACAGGTCTATATCCCTTACCGTCATCCTGCTGTAGCACAACCCCAATCCCATACTGACTTGCGTCAGTCGTGACAATGAAAGGAAGCGAAGGGTCAACAATCTTTAGGACAGGGTAGTGAGTCAGAGTATGTTTTAACTTTCTAAACGATAACTCACAGTCTTTGTCCCACAACCAAGGTTTTTTTCTTTTTCAATAGTCTCCTCATAGGAGCGGCTATCAAAGAGAAGTTTCTGACGAACTTTCTATAATAGCTAGCTAGTCCTAAGAAAGACCTTAGTTCAGTTATAGTCGTAGGTTGTGGTCAATCTCTTATTGTTGTAATCTTCTTTTCTTCAGGCCTTAGTTCTTCCTCGTTTACTATATGCCCTAGGTATAAAACTTCAGGCTTAGCAAACTCAGACTTCTTCGGATTCAGTTTGAAGTTGCCCTCGCGCAACTTCTGCAAGACCATTCGTAGGTGTTTTTCATGATCCTTTAGTGTTTTGCTATACACTAGAATATCGTTGAGATAGACTACTACGAACTGGTCAAGCCATTGACGGAATAACTCATTCATTGACCTTTGGAAGGTTGCAGACGCATTGGTCAGACCGAAAGGCATAACCACGAACTTGTAGTGACCACACCTGGTTCGGAAAGCCGTCTTGTGTTGATCCTCAGGAGCCGCCTCAATTTGGTGATACCCTGATTTGAGATCAATCTTACTGAAATACCTGCATCCCTACAACTGATCCAATAGATCGTCGATGCGCGGAAGAGGTTCCGCGTTTTTAATAGTGATGGAATTCAGCCCGCGATAGTCAATACATAAACGAAGTTCACCCTCCTTTTTAGGCTCGAATAAGACAGATGCCCCATAAGGAGCTGAGCTAGGGCGAATCCATCCCTTATCAGTAAGTTTTTGCAACTGCTTCTGAAGTTCCTCAAGTTCCCTGGGAGACATTCGGTAAATGAGACCCTTGAA